AAAAATTAATTCCCTGGATAATTGTAAATCATGATGGGGGTGGAAGTGGGGATGGGGATGGGAATGGGGAAAAAGTTATTTTTTTATTTGTTTTCGAAAGGAAAAATTTTTTTAATTTTATTTTGAAAATTATTTACTAAAGTAAAAAAAAAAATTCATTTATATTATTATTATTATTATTATTATTATTATTATTATTATTATTATTTTTATGAAAAAAAAAAACTTTTTAGATTCTTTTTATTATTATTATTATTATTTTTTCTCCAGACAATAACAACAACAAAAAAGAGAAAAAGTTTACATTTTTTACTCTATTTACACGTCACTACATTATATTTTATTTTTTTTGTAAATAAATTCCAAAAATAAAATAAAATTATAGAAAAAGGGAAAATTTTATTTTTATACGTAAAATAAATTTTACTCCATTTCCTTTTTTGTGTAAAAGGAAAAAGAAAAAAAGGAAAACAAATTCGAACCTGGAAAATCTGGACAAAATTTTTCTTGAAAGGAAAACGTGAAAATAAAGAAAATGAAAAATATTTTATTTAATTTATCAAAACAGAATTTTCCTTTTTACTTTTCCAGGTTCTTTCATTGAAAAAAAAAAAAAAAGAGAAAGAAAAAATTAAAATGGTACGTCATTAAATAATGTTTTTCCTTTTTTGTACAGGTGCGGAAAACAGTTATTATTATTATTTAGGTTCAAGTTTTCGGTTTACTAAAAAAAAAAAACGTTAATAATAAAAATTCTCATTGTTGTTGTTTTTTTTATTTTCCTCGCATTGATTAAACCCACGCAAAAAAAATTTTTTTATTTATTACAAAAGTTTTATTATTATTATTATTGTTATTAATAAAAAGCATAAATATTTCTGGATAAGAATAGGTGAGGAAGAGAATGGGAGAGAATAAAGAGGGAAGAGAAGGGAAAGTTACAAAAAAGGTTTTTGCGTAGGTTTTTTTCATACGGAAGTTAACGAAACGTTGAAAAGTAGATGGGTAGAGAGAGTGAAACATAGATAGGTAATGAGTGAGAGAGAGAGAGAGAGAGGGAGGTATAAGGGTCACGTATCACATTTATTATTTAAAATCAAAAGTTTATTCATAAATTTTACGTGATGAAAAGAAAAAAAAAAGAAATTTCTGATTAAAACTACATCAAAATTTTAGTTTGCATTTCAATTAAAAAAAAAAAAAAAAAATCGTGCGAATATTATTCTAGTGACACGTTTATTTTTTTACTAAAACGTATGTGTAAGCCTTTTTTTATCCCTCCTTCCTTCCTTCCTTCCCTCCCCAAAATAAAAAACCATGAGTGATTTTCCTGTCATTAATTTCATTATTATTAACTTTGTACCTGTTACGTCATTAGTTTTATAAAAAAAATTTTTTTTTTTATTTATTTTTTTACGAATTTTCCACATTTGTGAAAATTCAAAAAAAAAAAAAAAATCGAATTAAATTTAATTAAAAAATTATTATTATTATTATTATTCGACTTAAAAAGGTTTTTAAATTTAATTTTCACTTTTATTATTATTATTTTTCTTTACTTAAAACGATTTCCTCCCCCCCTTTTGTTTTTTTTCTTCAACAGAAAAAAAATAATATGGTCCCCCTCGCGATTTTAAGAAAATTGAAAAAAAAATAAAAATTTGGGTCAAGAATCTTCTAGAACAAAAAAAAAAAAAAATCATTAAAAGGAAAAAAAAAACAAATAATTTTTCCTTTTTTTTTTACCGGTTTTTATTTAATTTCTTTTAACAGTAGAATAAAATTAATCTAGACGGCAGCGATTTTTACTTTTTTTTCCTTTTTTTTCGGCAATGAACATTGGATTACTTGTAAGAGATGGAAAGAGAGAGAGAGAGAGAAAGAGAGAGTAGAAAAATTTTACTTAAGAAAATTAAAAGCTTTTGCCAGTAAATTTTTATTTAAAAAAAAAAAAAAAGGAAATGGAAAGCGAAAAATACAAAAAGGTTTTTCTTTTTTCGGTAAAAAAAGATAGATATATATATAAAATTGAAAAGAATCGAAGGGGGGAGGGGAAAAAAAAGCAGAAGATAAAAATTTACCCATGTGTTTTTATTTATTTATTTATGTCGAATTTAAAATTTGAAAAAAAAAGAAAAAAAGTTTTTTATTCAGATTAATTCGTTCTGTTAGTTTTTTTTTTTTATTGGGGTAATAAATTAATGTGAAAAACTAATGATGATGATGATGATGAGGGTGGTGGTGGTGGTTATGATGATAATGATGATGATGACAAATGGAAAAAAAAAATTTTTTTTATTTTTCCAGACAAAACAAACGCGAATAAATAAAGAAATTCGGAAAAGCGTAAAGTGTAAAATATTGTTTTCCATCTTTAATATCTCATAAATTATTTTACGACAAGAAAATTTTTTTTTGTGAAATATCTAGCAGACGACAAAACAAGAAAATTTTTGAAACGAATAAAATCTTTCAAGCAGCACAATAAAATAATTGAAATAGTTTTTTTTTTTTTAAGGGAAGAGGGAGGAGGGGAGAACGTTTCGGTTGAAAAGGAGAGAAAATTACAAAAAAAATAATTTTTTTTTTTTTTTGATGAAAGGATTTTTATCAATTTTATGTTTCTATTTCATTCTCTCTCTCTTTCTCTTTCTCTCTCACTCTTTACCACTCCTTTCGACCGCTTATATTTTTCCCAAAAAAAAAAAAAAAGAAAAAAAAAGTCAAAGTTTGAAATCTTAAAATAGCATTGAAAAGAAAAAAATTTCCTCAGATTTTCACATTTTTTTTTTTTTTTATTATTAAATTTATATTTTTATATAAAAAATTTACTTTCTGGAAAAGCCACTTTTGAAAAAAAAAAAAAAATTTTTTTCTCCAGCCATTTTTTTTTTTTTTTTTTTTTTTGGAAAAAAAATTTTTTTTTTAAAATTTACACATGATTTTTTTGATTGATAAAACTTATTTTTACTATTTGCACACGAGTTATGTTCGCATACGTTTATATAATAAACCACGTGATTCGCTTAAATTTTCTTTTTTTTTTTATCGTTTAACGCAAAAGCAGACGACAAATTTATTTATTTATTTTTTTTTTTATTTTTTCACGAACTGTTTTTTTTAACGAGAAGGAGATGATGATGATGACGACATTTAAAAAAAGTGATAAATCGTCTTTAATTATAAAAATTTTCTTTTTGTTTTTTTTTTTATAGATGGAGGGGCTGGTGCGGGAAATGCAGGATCCGGAGACGGGGGTACCAGTGAGGAGCCAAAAATTATTTTTAACTTCAATACCATCGGCCTTCATGGGTAAGTGACAAAAAAAAAAAATTTATCACGTTTTAAAACAAACTAACAATGTTAAATTTTCCCAAAAAAGAAAATTATTATTATTATTATTATTATTATTATTATTATTATCATTTGACAAACACTAGAATTTTGTAACGGGCGCCAAAAAAATATTTTTCTTATGTTTATCTAGAAAAAATCGAGAAAAAAAAAAGGAAAATTTTTACACAAAAGTTTCCCCCCATTTCTCTTTTCTCTCCTTTAAATATCTCGGTGTATTGTTTTTCCAACTTGGATTTATTCCAAAAAAAAAAGAAAGAAAATTCTTAAAAAGAAAATGGAAATTTAATTCTGTGAAATCATTCGAAATTTTCTTTTTTTTTTTTTCTATTTTATTTTTATTATTCGGTTACGATTCGTTTCGAATAGAAAAGAAAATTTTGAGTAGGGAGGGGAAAAAAGGGAAAATGCTTAAGAAAATTTTAGAATAAAAAAAAAAAAAAAAAAAAAAGAAAAACATTTGGAAAGTAAAATTTTTACTCGTTCGGACTTTAAGAAAAACATTGCAATTTGGAAAATGGAAAAAAACCCGCGAAAATTCATTTCGTCTGCTTTTTCTTTTTAAATTTTTAATTCCGTAAATTAATAAACACGCCGTAAGAAAAAAAAAAAAAGGAATTTTCCAGGGAAAAAATAACTGAAAATTGTAACTCACTGACCATGCATGCATTAAATGATAATGATAATAATAATAATAATTAAAATACACACGAGGCAAAATGTTAAAAGTGTGCGAGGGGGGGGGGGAAAAATTTAATTATTTTACTAGAAAAGGTGAAAAAAGTGAATTTAACTTTCCAAAAAAAAAAAAAAAACAAATAAAGAAAAAAAAAAGAAAACCCTTTTTCCCCTTAAAATTTTTTCTCTTTCTTTTTTTCTTCTCTTTCCTTTTTTTTGCTGTTGTATTTGTTGATTAAAAAGGCGTTAATTAACTGTTTATTATGCCACAATTAACAAGAAAAAAAAAAAGAAAAAGAAAATCTTTTTTTTCTTTTTTTTTCTTTCTTTCACTGGAATCCATCGTTTATCATCGCTTCAAAAAAAAAAAATAATTAAAATTTTGATGACGTCGATAAATTTTCCCATTTTTTTTTATTTTTTTTATTTCGAGCGTGGGACTAGAAAAAAAAAAGGAAAAAAGAAAGAAGTTAATTTTCACTGTTTTTTTTAAATAAAAAAAAAAAGAACAAAAAAAAAAAAAATATTTATATATATATATGTATAAATCTTTGGAGAAAATATCTCCAGAGTGTAAGTTTCGTATACGTACATATAAATCCGTGAGTGTGTGTGTGTGTGTGTGTGTGAAAAATTTTCATTTTACTTTTCTCTCTCTCTCTCTCTCTCTATCTCTCTCTATCTCTATCTCACTCTCTTTTTTCCATTTCACATTTTACTGTCGAGATGATGATTTTTTTTTTTTTTTTTAATTTTCTTTTTCGAGTGAATGAAAAGAAGATGGAAGAAAAAAAAGAGAGAGAAAAAACAATTTTCTTTCTCTTTTTTTTCCTCTTTTTAAAATCATTTATCGATTTAAAATTTCATAATTTATTATTATTATTATTATTATTATTATTATTATTATTATTATTTCTTCTGCTCCTTCTTTTTCTTCGTTAATTAATCCTTCGAAACGTACAAAAAAGTTTTTTTTTTTACGTGTGATTACATCGATAACGTGGGGAGGGGGAGGGGGTGAATGAACGACCGATCGAAAAAGACAACGAAAAAAAAAAAAAAATTAATTGATGGGTTGAAAAAACC